GAAACGGAGACCGGGCGGGCCTCCCACAGCACCTTGGCAGGACGTGGCAGGCTGAGTGAGCCTGGGCACTCTGGGTCCCGGGCCAGGGCTGTAGGGTCTCTGTTCTAGCGGGTGCTCAGGGGCTCTCTTTCCTTTGGCTTCCCCTTTCTGTCCCCAGCACCTCACCGTCCAGCCCAGTCTCCCTCTCTGACGCTTCCGCCTTCTCGCCTCTCTCCCCTCCCACCCTCGCCTTGCACTCCCAGGGGGGCCTCACAGCAGGGCCTTGTTGGGGGGGGCCTCACCTGACTCTGCAGGACCCCAGGAACGGAGGGGGTGGCAGTTGGGCTTTGAGCAGATAAATGGTAATTATGGGATTACACACATTGTTGGTTGATTTAAATCCCGCAGACAAACATGGCCTGCAGGGCTGGGAGGAGGGTCAGCGGGCTTCAGGCTTTGGGGTGGGAAGAGTGGGAGGAGGGGGCGGTTTGGTCTGGAGCTTCTTCCCTGCCTGGAACTCCCGGCCCTTCCAGTCTCTCAGGCTGCATTGGTCTCGCCCCGGATGCCACTGAGAACGGAATTCCTGTCACAATGAGTGGCTCACACCGGTAATCCCAGCAGTTTGGGAGGCTGAGGCGGAAGGATTGCTTGAGTCTAGGAGTTTGAGACCTGCACTGGCTGCATAGTGAGACTTCATCTCTATAAAATTATTAAAAAATAAGCTGGGTGTGGTGATGTGCACCTGTAGTCCCAGCTACTCAGGAGGCTGAGGCAGAAGGACTGTCTGAGCCCAGAAGGGCTGTGGTGAGCCGTGATTGTGCCACTGTACTCCAGACTGAATGATAGAGTGAAATCCTGACTAAAAAAAAAAACAGAAATAAAAGAAAAGAATGAACTTCCTCCACACTTGTCCAGGAATATGCACGGGGACAGGTGGCCATCTGGGGACCGTCCTGAGAGCCCTGACACAGGAAGTGGTAAGGCTCGGCCAGCGGATTTGACTTACCTCTGGGGCTCGAAGCCACCCCGTATTCCAGCACTTGAGAAAAACTTCCCTGTATTAACCCCTACAGAGACCTGCACCAGGCAGTGTCAAGTGCTATGCATCCATGAGCCCACGGGACCCTCTGAAGAAGGTATGATGGTTATTCTCTGGAACTGAGCTGGGGCCCTGGGACCCGGGCCTGCCAAGACACCAACTGTCCCCTTTACAAATGCAGACCCTCACTTCAGCCTCCGCGGAGTCCACGCATGCCAGCCCCTCAAGCTGAGTACACACCATCTCCACCATCTGCCTCACTGGAGATGTCCCCAGGAAGACGATGCCTAGCCCTAAGGAAGGCTGGCCTAGGACCCCTCGTAGTGGCCAGAGCCAATAGGTGACCACGTCCCCGGCTACCTGTCCCCATTCGGGACCCACCACATTGTCCCGGGTCAGCTCCCCACGTACCCACCTGCCCACTGGGCCTCCAGCCTCAGGAGCAAGGAGCAGAGCTTTGTCTGAGCAGCTGGCTCAGCAGTGATGCTCACTGAAAGGAGGTATCTACAGAAACCTAGAATAAACTTAGTTTAGCTCGGTTTTTTTGCTGCAGCAGAGCCATTTTGCTTAGGCTTTACCCCTGACACGGTTTGAATCTAGCACAGGTTAGACACAGATAAATTTCCAATAGGCAGGCTTCTTTTGTTTTTTTGTTTTTGTTTTTCG